CAGGCGTAGGCCTGCTGCTGCTGCTGCTGCTGCTGCAGAGGACGACAGCAGCAGCAGCAGCAGCAGGTCTTCTGATGAAGAGGGTGAGCTTCTGTTTGCTGCACAGCGTGCAGCGCCGCGAGCTTTTGGCCATCTCCCTTTGCTTCCAACTCCAGGGTTTAGGGTTTAGGGTTTAGGGTTTAGGGTTTAGGGTTTAGGGTTTAGGGTTTGTGTACAGATGGGCCTCTCACTAAACGGCAGCGGCATATGAACTTTGGCGCTGCTTCTCAAGAGCCCCAAAAAGCAGCAGAAGTTCTTTGCCTCTCAGACTCTTCAGACGATGAGCAGCAGCAGCAGCAGCAGCAGCAGCAGCAGCAGCAGCAGCGGGTGGCTGCAGCAGGTGCTGCTGTGAGCGGAAGCAAGCTGGGGGCTGAGGAGCCTCGTGTCCCGAGTCAGCCGTCGCAGCAGCAGCAGCAGCAGTATCCGCTGCAGCAGCAGCAGCCATCGCAGCACCAGCAGCAGCAGCAGCTATCGCAGCAGCAGCAGCTATCGCAGCAGCAGCCATCGCAGCAGCAGCAGCAGCAGCAGCAGCGACCTGATGGCGGAGGTGAGGTCAATGCCCCCATCGCACTGGACTCGGACACAGATGAAGAAGAGCGGCAGCAGCAGCAGCAGCAGCAGCAGCAGCAGCAGCAACTGGGAGCTCCTGTGACTTCTGGGGGCCAAGGGGTCCCGTCTGATTTAGTAGCTGCTGACAGGGCAGCTGCCACGCAATGCCAAAGCAGCAGCAGCAGCAGCAGCAGCAGCAGCAGCAGCAGCAGCCGTGCCGAGGATCATGCGAGCAGCAGCAGCAGCAGAACAGAGGCCGCCGAGGGCTTGCGCTCTGCTGCTGTCTCCACTGAAGCAGCAGGAGGCCCTTCTGCTGGTGCTGCCTCAGCTGCTCCTGCTGCTTTAAGCAGCAGCAGCAGCAGCAGCAGCAGCAGCAGCAGCAGCAGCAGAGTTGAGCCGCAGCAGCAAGACACGGCACTCGATTTCGCAGAAGCAACAGAAGCAGCAGCGCTGCTGGAGGAGATCGACTGGGCAGCAGCATCTCAGGCTTCTTCAGTTGGTGGGGGTTTTCCAGAAGCAACTCAGCCCCAAGCAGCAGCAGCAGCAGCAGCAGCAGCAGCAGCAGCAGCAGCGGCAGCATCGCCTGCTGCTGCCGCTGCTGAACCAGCTGCTGCTGCATCTCCTGCTGCTGCTGCCCCGCCTGCAGCAGCGCCAGTTGCTGCTGCTCTTGCAAGTGAGCAGACGCCGGCTGCAGCAGCAGCTGCAGCAGCAGTTGCTGCAGCAGCTGCAGCAGCAGCTGCTGCAGCAGCTGCAGCAAGAAGCCCTGTAGACCCAGAACAGAGAAAACCGGAGGCTCGTGCTGCCGCGGCAGAGGAACTCTTGCAGATGCAGCAGCAGCTGCAGCAGCAGCCGCAGCAGCAGCAGCAGCAGCAGCAAGTGCAGCAGCAGCAGCAGCAGCAGCAGCAGCAGCAGCAAGTGCAGCAGCAGAAGCAGCAGCAGCAGCAATGGTTTAGCAGTGAAGATGGGCTACGCGCGCTGCAGGAGAGGTGCCAGCAGGAATTGCTGCTGCGGCAGCGGCGCGCTTTTATTCAGCAGCAGCAGCAGCAGCAGCTTTTGCAGAGCCGGCTGCTGATGCTGCAGCCAAACAGATACGCGGCCCTGCAGCAGCAGCGGCTTCTCCTGCAGCAGCAGCAGCAGCCAGCAGCGGCAGCAGCAGCAGCAGCAGCAGGTCAGCCCGGTGCAGCCCCTTGGCTCTTGCAGCCGCTGCTGCCGGGTGCAGCAGCAAGCAGCGTGGGTGCTGCACCGTCGGCTGCTGCCTCGTGGCCTGCTGTGCAGCAGCAGCAGCAACCGCAGCAGCAGCTGCAGCAGCAGCAGCTGCAGCAGCAGCAGCTGCAGCAGCAACAGCAGCAGGTGGCCGCGGGACTGCCGCTGCTGCTGAGCCTTCGCAGCACCCCGGCAGCAGCGCAGGCAGCAGTGCAGCAGCTGCTGACGACAGCGCAGAAGCATGCAGATGAATCCACCCCACAGCAGCAGCAGCAGCAGCAGCAGCAGCAGCAGCAGCAGCAGCAGCAGCAGCAAGTGTCGAACCACGTGCAGCTAGCTGCGCGGCTCCCCGAGCTGCTGAGCCTCCGCAGCGGCCCCCAGGCAGCTCAGGCAACAGTGCAGCAGCTGCTGACGACTGCGCAGAAGCATGCAGATGATTTAGCCAAGCAGCAGCAGCAGCAGCAGCAGCAGCAGCAGCAGCAGCAGCAGCAGGAGCCGGTGCCGCAGCAGCAGCAACATGCCCAACAACCGCCAGCCTTAGAGAGGTGATGGAGGGCGCAATATTGAGGGAGTTCACCCAGCAGCAGCAGCAGCTGCTGCAGCTGCAGCAGCTGCAGCAGCAGCAGCAGCAGCACCGTTGATACAGAGCGGCCGCAGCAGGAACTAGCGTCGACCTTTGCCTCTGCCGCACAGCAGCAGCAGCAGCAGG